GTGTTGGCTGAAGTTTTTGTTTGTTTACTAGCTGAAGTTTTGTCCTCTATTTGCTGAACTTCAGCATGTTTTAGCTGAAGTTTTGTTCTATATTTGCTGAACTTCAGCATGTTTTAGCTGAAGCTTTGTTATGTTTGTGATGAATTTCAGGGCTGAAGTTTGTTTTGTATTTGCTGAACTTCAGCATTCTATGAGCTGAAGTTTTTGTTTATATTTGCTGAACTTCAGCATTCTTAGAGCTGAAGTTCTAAAACAACAATGACAAGTTGTCATTAAGATCCAGTTGCTATAATGGAATTATCAGGAAATTCAGCATTAAGAAGAACCATCTTTAATTCTTTTTTGGGGGAATAAAATTTCAGATGTACTTAACGCAAAATTCATACCTTAGTGCTAAATCACTGTGTAGTTCATATTCAATTAATAATACTTACACAGAGTCTCATGTGTTTGAGAGAGAAAAGAAGAAGAAGAAGAGGAGGAAAAGAAAGGAGGAAGAAAGGAGCGCACAGGTAGCAGGAAGAAGGAGGCGCCTGAAGTTGTAAAAATTAGGGTATACGTTAAATAATTTAAAAAATATAAGTATAAGTTAAATAGGAGCGCCCTATTTTGGGCGCCCGTTCAATTTTTACTTTAAATGGTTGGACCAAGATCAACTACAAGCTTCTGGATTCGAGGCCCAAAACAAATTATGAATTTAGTAGCTCAGTGGCTTGAACCGATTGACATGGCAAACAACGTTGACGTTCGTTAACATGCATGTCCCCAAATACGTTCAATCTTTGAATTAGACTCCTCATTGTTTTCAAACTACATGTTTCATCTTCTAATTGGTTTCAATAATAGGTTAAGAATTCAAAGTTGTCTCCATACCGAGGCAATCAAAAAGATCTCATAACATGTATTATGCTATTTGCCATTTCTAGCTCATCTAACTGGTAGTAAAGATCATTTACGAAGCACTGCTTGTTTTAGATAAACATTTGTACCATCACACACAACTTAGAATAACAACAACTAAGATACCAAAACTGGAACCTGTTACCTTTTCTCTGCAATCCTTTCTCTACAAAGCTAAGCACTAGTAATATCCGTTGAAATATTCCAAAAAACATGTCTACAAAAACACCTAGGTATTTCTAGAACTCTTTTTTGTTTTCCCGAGCTTTCCTGAGTCGAGGTTCTATTGAAAACAACATCTCTATCTTCGCAAGGTAGGGGTAAGGTCTGCGTACCCCAAACCCCATTATGCGGTATTATATTGGGTACGTTGTTTTTTTTCCCGAAGAAGGAAAAAGGAATAAAGAATTGAAATATAGAAAAAAGCTGCGTGGAAGGCTAGAAACTATACATAGTTTACCTATACTATATTGGATTTTGCTTTGAAGTTAAGCAGATGCTGATAAGCCCAATTGACAAATTTGAGACACTGGAGGAGCCTCCCAATAAGCTGTCTTCTTCTTCATTTCTGCAAAATCCCTCACACATTGCTCCATTCTTAAATCTTCAACTCGCCTTCTCGCTGCAGCCAGTTTATCACCTGCCACTTCATCGAATAATTTCTGCCACCCGCTCTCCCACTCGGCATGAGCATCACAGAGCAGAAGGGTGTTATTGGCCCAATCGGTCCAGCTCCATCCTTTGTACAGTCTGTTCATTACCAGCCCAACGCAGTGGTCAGTGCATGAAGGTGTGCAAGGCCGGCACTTGGCACCACTTAATGGGCCTGGACTAGAAAGTGCTGCTACTGGAACACCAAAACGGGGTGGTGGAAAATCATAGCTACGATCCGATACAACGCAGAATGGGAGGCGCTTAGTGATGTAGGGAACTTTGTGGATAGTCAGTTGGGCCTTGAATGCGCCCTCTGAGTTGAGGAGATGGTATCCAGCTGAATCCAGCTCAGGAATCAAAGAGAGCCTCGAAAGAGCAACTACAGACGTGTTGTAGTCACCGAGGCCAAAGCGATCATTTAAGCCACCGTAGGATGAACCTGGAGGAACTAGGTAGGCACCTGGAATGAAGTCGTCGGGAGATAGTGGGGCGTTCCAGTAGCCATCAACTCGAGTACGGATTATCCAGTCATAAGTGAAGTTGTTCCGGCGTTGATGTGCTTGAATCATCGTTAAGCAGCCCTCTACTAGGTTGAAATATTGCAGCAGACCCTGCAATACAAAACAGTAAAAAAATTGGAGTTTTGGGAATTAGAAAAAGCCTGTGTAGCTTATTAACATTCAAGCCTAGGGAATATGGCTATAAATGCTTCTTATTTTTCAATTAAGCAGATGTAGATATAGCATTAGTAGTGGACAACTTATGTATGTAAAAACTAACCTTGAATTTGCCTCTGCAACTATGAGCTAAGTGCTAACGAACTCTAAGATTCGCCTCTACAACAATGAGCTAAGTGCTAATGAACGCTAAGAAGCAAGGTTCTATAGTAGTATCTCATGAGGTACAACTAAACAATGAACCAGTGATCTATCATATAAAATGGTAAGAAAGATACCCAATACTACAATAGCAATTTAAGTCCAACCAGCGCAGGCAGTAGCACTGCTCCGAATTAGGTAAAGATTGAACTAGAGCAGTACTAGTTGCGCTCGAATTAGGTAAAGCTATACTACCATAAATTTAACATGCTCACATGTCAGACTAATAAACACCATATTTAAGATAAAACCTACTTTTCAAGTGCACTTAACACTAATATTCAACCATCATTAATCCGACAAAGGACTATTCGTATGACAATACTATAGAATGGTACGAACTACTACAAGTTGGTCGTTCCTTAAG